CACAGTGATGTTTAGTTTCTGAATGAATCTGCATTTTGAACGAATCGGGGGAAACAATGATTCAAAGGCCCATTGATAGAGAGAGACGTTTACTTAATTCCTGAATTAATCAGCCGTTTCAACAAATTAAATGAATGAATGACTCAAAGACATTTAACGCCACCTGCTGGCAATTTTAATTTCTTATTTAGAGTATAATTTAATTTTAAAAATAAGAAAAAAAACATTGCCGTTTTTCTCAATTGCTTAAACACAAAAACTGGTTTCTGTAGCAGAAAAACCGATACCCTTATGCCATTCCCAAACACACACGTTTCCCATAACTGTAATCACTATTCACCTATTTCCACACATGCTTCAATATTCAAAACTCATTCTGTAAAAACTTTCACAAAAGGGGCCAAATAAATCATTCACTGCACTGTAAGTTCATTCAGCAAACACATGCTCTCAATATAATTAACTCAAGTCATCAGAAGCTAAACTCAAAGAGCACACCTTTCTCCAGGTGCAAACACTAAGACTCAAAATTGTTAACACACCAATCAGAATTAAAGGGTTATTAAAAGAGACCTGGAGCAATCTCTGTGTGCTTTGGAACAATGGATCCTAACAATGCTGATGTTGCAAGACAACAGCATGGAGAGGGAGAGGGAGAGGACCTGAGATGAGATTATGATGAGAACGTTGATGCTGATGCTGTTGCTGAGTAACCTGTACATTTGCTTGCCTTTGGAAATAAAGGTTTTGAAAATTTAAATATTATACTCTTCAGGAACTCTTCCTTACATGTTTTGTCAGTGTGACATTTCAAAGGTCAGCTTTTTGTCCAAAACAGCATAAACCGTATTGCTTTATCCAATTATGTAAGCACAAACGCATAAAACAGTACTGTTTTTTTTTTTTTTTTTTTTTTTTTTTTTTTCAGGGTTGTTTCTGAAAGAGTTATTAGTCAGTGCTGTGATTTCACTAAGTTCCAAATTATTGATCTGAAAACTTCTAAAGCATTTGGTAGCAGTGTTTTGAATTTATTATCCCTCCAATGTGTAAAAAACAGTCATGTAGTCTGTATTGACTGAGGGCAAAGTTTGAATTGGGATTCAGAAGTTAGCTGTTTGTACCGTTGGGTGTGAGATTTTAAAATTGTGTGTGAAGATTTGAGAAAATGGTGAGTTGTTCTCAGAATTGTCTAAGCAATTGGGGAAAACTGTAAAGGGATAGTTCACCCAAAATGTAAAATTGTCATTTACACACCCTCATGTCCTTTCAAACCTGAACGACTTACTTTTGCACTACATAAAAGAAGGTATTTTGAAGACTGTTGGTAACAAAGCTGTTTTTGTTACCAGTTTCATTGCATGGACAAAGAAATAGAGATGTTTCTCAAAGTATGCTTTTTTATGTTCCATAGTTTATGTTAGGCCATTGTAGCTTAAACATTTATTAATAAATTTCATGTTGAATCAAATAAAATGTTTCTTTCTAAAGCAACTCTTTGTAAAGTCTACTTGATACTTTCTCATTTAACACAATAGCTTTTATCTTTTGTGGGTATTTTCACAGCCAAATTTTAATTTGCGATTTAATTAGATTAATTAATCGACACATCAGGTAATTAATTAGATGGAAAAACTTTAATTGACTGACAGTCCTAATATATATATATACACAGGTGCATCTCAATAAATTAGAATGTTGTGGAAAAGTTCATTTATTCAGTAATTCAACTCAAATTGTGAAACTTGTGTATTAAATTCAATGCACACAGACTGAAGTAGTTTAAGTCTTTGGTTCTTTTAATTGTGGTGAATTTGGCTCACATTTAACAAAAACCCACCAATTCATTATCTTAACAAATTAGAATATGGTGACATGCCAATCAGCTAATCAACTCAAAACACCTGCAAAGGTTTCCTGAGCCTTCAAAATGGTCTCTCAGTTTGGTTCACTAGGCTACACAATCATGGTGAAGACTGCTGATCTGACAGTTGTCCAGAAGACAATCATTGACACCCTTCACAAGGAAGGTAAGCCACAAACATTCATTGCCAAAGAAGCTGGCTGTTCACAGAGTGCTATATCCAAGCATGTTAACAGAAAGTTGAGTGGAAGGAAAAAGTGTGGAAGAAAAAGATGCACAACCAACCGAGAGAACCGCAGCCTTATGAGGATTGTCAAGCAAAATCGATTCAAGAATTTCCAAGTATTGAGTACATGTACAGTAAATGAACATACTTTCCAGAAGGCCAACAATTCACTAAAAATGTTTTTTTTATTGGTCTTATGAAGTATTCTAATTTGTTGAGATAGTGAATTGGTGGGTTTTTGTTAAATGTGAGCCAAAATCATCACAATTAAAAGAACCAAAGACTTAAACTACTTCAGTCTGTGTGCACTGAATTTATTTAATACACGAGTTTCACAATTTGAGTTGAATTACTGAAATAAATGAACTTTTCAACGACATTCTAATTTATTGAGATGCACCTGTATAATGGAGCTAATATATATATTTATATATACCATTTCTGTACCAAAATAATGTACCATAATACTTTTTGGTAAGGTTGTTTTATTTGATTACAACATAACTTGCCAGGTATCAACTGCCTTTCATTATTTTATTTTATTTTATTTTGATGTGCTAAACCAGCACAGATTTGACAGTTTTCTGTTCCGTTGATTCTTTTTAATTAAGTACAGTGTTTTACAGCACACCGTGTCTCTCTCCCTCTGAACGCTGGTGTAATTTAGGATTATGGCACTCTCTCCAGAACTCCTGGGAGCAGAGCAATCAGGGGAAAAGCGTACAGACAAAGCCTCGGTCAAGTCTGCACCATAGCGTCCAGTCCGAGAGGAGCTGGATGAGTCAGAGAGAACCAGAGGGGACAGTGTGATGTCTCTCGAGTCGCAAACAGGAAAAGCTCTCCATATCTGCTTCACCACCTCGGGGTGAAGTCTCCATTTCTCGGGCCTCAGCTTGAAGTTTTCCCTGGGACCACACAAGGATCTGGTGCGCCAACCTAAAGTCCAGTGTTAAGTTTCCACAGTCTGTGATGATTTGGGGTGCAGTGTAATCTACTGGTTTTGGTCCATTGTGTTTTTTGAAAACCAACGTCACTGCACCCGTTTACCAATAAATTCTGGAGCACTTCAAGCTTCCTTCTGCCGACCAGCATTTTGAAGATGCTGATTTCATTTTCCAGCATGATTTGGCACCTGCCCACACTGCCAAAAGCACCAAAAGTTGGTTAAATGACCATGGTGTTGGTGTGCTTGACTGGCCAGCAAACTCACCAGACCTGAACCCCATAGAGAATCTATGGGGGATTGTCAAGAGGAAAATGAGAAACAAGAGACGAAAAAATGCAGATGAGCTGAAGGCCGCTGTCAAAGAAACCTGGGCTTCCATACCGCCTCAGCAGTGCCACAAACTGATCACCTCCATGCCACGCCGAATTGAGACAGTAATTAAAGCAAAAGGAGCCCCTACCAAGTATTGAGTATATGTACAGTAAATGAACATACTTTCCAGAAGGCCAACAATTCACTAAAAATTTTTGTATTGGTCTTATGAAGTATTCTAATTTGTTGAGATAGTGAATTGGTGGGTTTTTGTTAAATGTGAGCCAAAATCATCACAATTAAAAGAACCGAAGACTTAAACTACTTCAGTCTGTGTGCATTGAATTTATTTAATACACGAGTTTCACAATTTGAGTTGAATTACTGAAATTAACTTTTCCACCTGTATATACAGTACTGTGCAAAAGTTTTAAGCAACTAGTATTTTCAGTTATTTCTATCTTTTGCTGTAGTGGGTCAGTAGGAAATATCAGTTTACTTTTCCAAACATTCATTTTGCCATTAATTTTAATGATCCAGTGAGGTTTTTGTTTGCACAAGGAGTCTGACAACAGTCAGTGCTCCACACAGAGATCTGATCTGATCATAATCCAGTCTGTCTGGAATGACATGAAGAAACAGAACAAACTGAGATTATACAGGTCTCCAGGATGCTTCAAGAAACCCGACCAGCATTTTGAAGATGCTGATTTCATTTTCCAGCATGATTTGGCACCTGCCCACACTGCCAAAAGCACCAAAAGTTGGTTAAATGACCATGGTGTTGGTGTGCTTGACTGGCCAGCAAACTCACCAGACCTGAACCCCATAGAGAATCTATGGGGGATTGTCAAGAGGAAAATGAGAAACAAGAGACGAAAAAATGCAGATGAGCTGAAGGCCGCTGTCAAAGAAACCTGGGCTTCCATACCGCCTCAGCAGTGCCACAAACTGATCACCTCCATGCCACGCCGAATTGAGACAGTAATTAAAGCAAAAGGAGCCCCTACCAAGTATTGAGTATATGTACAGTAAATGAACATACTTTCCAGAAGGCCAACAATTCACTAAAAATTTTTGTATTGGTCTTATGAAGTATTCTAATTTGTTGAGATAGTGAATTGGTGGGTTTTTGTTAAATGTGAGCCAAAATCATCACAATTAAAAGAACCGAAGACTTAAACTACTTCAGTCTGTGTGCATTGAATTTATTTAATACACGAGTTTCACAATTTGAGTTGAATTACTGAAATTAACTTTTCCACCTGTATATACAGTACTGTGCAAAAGTTTTAAGCAACTAGTATTTTCAGTTATTTCTATCTTTTGCTGTAGTGGGTCAGTAGGAAATATCAGTTTACTTTTCCAAACATTCATTTTGCCATTAATTTTAATGATCCAGTGAGGTTTTTGTTTGCACAAGGAGTCTGACAACAGTCAGTGCTCCACACAGAGATCTGATCTGATCATAATCCAGTCTGTCTGGAATGACATGAAGAAACAGAACAAACTGAGATTATACAGGTCTCCAGGATGCTTCAAGAAACCTACCTGCAAAGCTACAGTACTGTTAAAAGTTTTAGGCACTTGTGTAAAAATGTTGTAAAATGAGGATGCTGTCATAAATAGATTTTATTTATCAATTAACTCCTATTAACTAAATTAAATCAACATTTGGTGTGACCATCCTTTGCGTTTACAGCAGCTTTTGTCCTAAGTGCAACTTGCACACAGTTTTTCAGGTAGCTTTGCAGGAAAGTCTCTTGAAGCATCTTGGAGAAGTTGCCACAGTTCTTCTGGATTTAGTCTGTCTCAGTTTGTTCTGTTTCTTCATGTCATTCCAGACAGACTGGATGATGATGATGATGAGATCAGATTTCTGTGTGGAGCACTGGCTGTTGTCAGACTCCTTGTGCAAACAAAAATCTCACTGGATCATTACAATTAATGGCAAAATGAATGTTTGGAAATGTTAACTGATATTTCCTACTGACACACTACAGCAAAAGAGAAATATCTGACTTAAACCATTTTCTTAGCTGGTGAAAATACTAGTAGCCTAAAACTTTTGCACAGTACTATATACAGTATATTTATATATATATACACAGCCCACACATTAACCCTACACTTTGAAAACCTCTAGTGCACTATAATCCATCACATTCACTATGCCTACATTATTCTGGCCAATATTGTATATTCAGAGGAGAACTGGCCCCTTGATATAACCTGGTTTCTCCATTATCCAACATTACTATTGTCCTCCTTTTAGAGCTGCTTTACAGCAGAATTGAATTTTGTTTGCATTATTGAAACACTGTTTTCCTGTTTAACACTGTTAAGCATCTTTAGCACACATATTGTATAAAGCAATATAGAAATAAAGGTGACTTTTTTTGTTTGCCTCTGACTTACACACTAGGGGACTAAAGATATTTTGTAATGTGTCTTATGTTGAATAAGTGTTATGGCAGGACATTCATTTAATCTGCTTAGGAATGGGCGATATAACCAAAAGATTAAACCCTGTCATTTATATGCATCATTTGACCATGGAACTGATACACATCACCAAACAGTTATTAGACAAACTGTTATAATTAAACAAAACCTTACACAACTCATGATTTCCATATTTCCATTTCACTGCATAATTAATTTTAACTTCCAGCTACTAAATATATCCAGCTTTATGCACATATACAGTACACTAACATATATATACATCATCACCATATGAAAACTATATAACTTATGTTTAGGTAAATCCTAACCCATATAATCCTTCTGAGCTTTATGAAGTTTGTCATAATTTTCTCCTGCATTTTTGCCTCCTGCTGCAGTAATTTCCAGCATTTGTTCACATGATACTCATTTGACTGCATCTTGCTATTTAAATATGCATGCTCATCTGTGAACTACTTGCAGATACATCAGATATCCCCACTCTGCAGCATCTTTGTGATGACCCTTTCACCCTACATCTTCCTGTCTATATTCTACATGTTTGTGCTTGTGGAAGACTACTGGGATGATTTGTCTATTGGTAACACCAAATGAAAGAAAGAAAGAAAGAAAAATAAATAAGAGAGTTTGGTACCATAATCTTATCACGTAGCATCTGAGGAAGCGGGTCCCATAAATTTCCCGGTAGATTCGATTGAGCTACAGAAATACAAAAAGAAACAAACTTACACTAAACTCACAAATGTAGTGTGGACAGAATTTTGAAAAAAAAACTACTGTATAAAATTAAAATATTTCTTAGACAACCTCAATAGTGATGTTTTTGGACAGAATCTGGTACTCCATAGAAGCAGGATTATTGTAAGCATCAATGTATTGTCTCTGTAAACGGATCTGCAGAATAACAAATCCCTCGCCTGCTACTGCTGAACCCGTTGAGGCTTTAGTTGATAGATGAGTGGTTCGCAGTGAAGATGTGGTTGAGGTGGTGACAACTTTAGAGTGTGTTGAGTTTGAAAATATTACAGATGTAGTGATATGATTACCAGCTGCACTGGATATGGACAATGTAGTGCCAGATGGACTAGAAAGAACAGTTGTGTTTGATACATCTTTATGATGTACACTACTTGACATTCCAGCAGAAATAGTTGTGTTTGATAAAACTGTATGAACTGCATTGTTTGAATGGCCATCTGGAGCAGTTGTGATTGATGTATTTGTTGAAATTGTAGTATTTGTATAAGGATTAGAAATTACTTTGCTTGACAGATTAGTAGAGACAGTGGTGTTGATCTTATCAAGCAGAATAATTGTGCTTGAGGGATATGTTGTCACTGTAGAGGTGGAATAGCCTGGCTGAACAGTTGTGTTTGAATGATTAGTGGGAACTGTAGTAGTTGAGGGACCAATAGGAATAGTCATGCTTAAATGTTCAGTATGACCTGAGATACTTGAATGGTCATTAGGAACAGTTCTGTTTGACAGATCAGTAGGAACTATTGTGGTTAATAGACTGGGAAGAGCAGCACTGTTTGAAAGGCCTAGAGGAATAGTTGTGATTGACTGATTAGTAGGTACTGTGGGGGGGGTGGGACTAATAGGAAAAGTAGTGCTTGATAGATCAGTATGATCTGCTGTGATTGAGGAAACAGTTGTGACTGTTAAATCAGTAGGTACTTCACTGGTAAAGGGACCAGGAGGATCAGCTGATTGATTGGTAGGACCTTTAGTGATGAAAGAGGCAATAGGAGCAGTTGTGATTGACAATTCAATAGGAACTGCAGTGTTTGAGGTTCCAGTATGAACAGTTGTGCTTGGTTGATCTGTAGGGACCACATTGCTTGAAAAATAATTAGAAGTAGTTGTGTTTGATAGACTGGCAGAAACTGCACTGTTTGAAGGACCAGGGGAAACTGAGTCTGATGGGCCAGTAGCGACTGCAGTGTCTGTAAAACCAGTAGGTGATATTGTGCTTGACAGATCAGCAGGAACTACAGTGGCTGAGGTTTTGGTATGAATAGTTGTGCTTTGTCTATCAGTGGGAATTGCATTGTTTGAAACATTACTATGAAGAGTTGTTCTTGAAAGATGTGCAAGGACTTCAGTAGTTGAGGTACCAGAAGGAACGACTGAGTGTGATTGATCAGTAGGAACTGCAGCAGCTGTGGAACCAACAGGAACAGATGCCTTTGATGAATATGACATATCTGTAGTTGCGATGGGACCAGTAGAAGCAGTTGTGCTTGACACATCAGTAGGAACTGTAGTGGTCAAGGTTCCGGTAAGAACAGTTGTGCTTGGTCGCTCAATATGAACTGTAGTACTTGATCCAACAGTTGGGCTTGTTTGATTAGTTAAAACTGCAGTGATTGAGGGATCAGTAAGAGCAGTTGTGTTTGAATGATTGGTAGGATCCCCTGTGCTTGAATGGCCATAGGGAGCAGTGTGTGATAAATGAGCAGGATCTGCTGTGCTTAATGTTCTAAGAGGAGCAGTTGTGCTTGATTTCTGAGCAGGAACTGCAGACAGTATGGAACTATTAGAAGACAAAGTAGCTGACAGATGAGTGTCACCTGTTGTGTTTAATGAACCAGCTGTGACTGATGGACGAGTAGCAACTGCAGTGTCTGTTAAACCAGTAGGTGATAGTGTGCTTGACAGATCAGCAGGAACTGCAGTGGTCGAGGTTCCTGTATGAACAGTTGTGCTTGGTCCCTCAACATGAACTGTAGTACTTGATCCAACAGTTGGGCTTGTTTGATTAGTTAAAACTGCAGTGATTGAGGGATCAGTTAGAGCAGTTGTGTTTGAATGACTGGTAGGATCCCCTGTGCTTGAATGGCCATAGGGAGCAGTGTGTGATAAATGAGCAGTATCTGCTGTGCTTAATGTTCTAAGAGGAGCAGTTGTGCTTGAATTCTGAGCAGGAACTGCAGACAGTATGGAACTATTAGAAGACAAAGTAGCTGACAGATGAGTGTCACCTGTTGTGTTTAATGAACCAGCTGTGACTGATGGACGAGTAGCAACTGCAGTGTCTGTTAAACCAGTAGTTGATAGTGTGCTTGACAGATCAGCAGGAACTGCAGTGGTCGAGGTTCCTGTATGAACAGTTGTGCTTGGTCCCTCAACATGAACTGTAGTACTTGATCCAATAGTTGGGCTTGTTTGATTAGTAAAAACTGCAGTGATTGAGGGATCAGTAAGAGCAGTTGTGTTTGAATGATTGGTAGGATCCTCTGTGCTTGAATGGCCATAGGGAGCAGTGTGTGATAAATGAGCAGGAACTGCTGTGCTTAATGTTCCAGAAGGAGCAGTTATGCTTGATTTCTGAGTAGGAACTGCAGAGAGTATGGGAACATTAGGAGACAAAGTAGCTGACAGATGAGTGTCACCTGTTGTGTTTAATGAACCAGCTGTGACTGATGGACCAGTAGCAACTGCAGTGTCTGTTAAACCAGTAGGTGATAGTGTGCTTGACAGATCAGCAGGAACTGCAGTGGTCGAGGTTCCTGTATGAACAGTTGTGCTTGGTCCCTCAACATGAACTGTAGTACTTGATCCAACAGTTGGGCTTGTTTGATTAGTTAAAACTGCAGTGATTGAGGGATCAGTTAGAGCAGTTGTGTTTGAATGACTGGTAGGATCCCCTGTGCTTGAATGGCCATAGGGAGCAGTGTGTGATAAATGAGCAGAATCTGCTGTGCTTAATGTTCTAAGAGGAGCAGTTGTGCTTGATTTCTGAGCAGGAACTGCAGACAGTATGGAACTATTAGAAGACAAAGTAGCTGACAGATGAGTGTCACCTGTTGTGTTTAATGAACCAGCTGTGACTGATGGACCAGTAGCAACTGCAGTGTCTGTTAAACCAGTAGGTGATAGTGTGCTTGACAGATCAGCAGGAACTGCAGTGGTCGAGGTTCCTGTATGAACAGTTGTGCTTGGTCCCTCAACATGAACTGTAGTACTTGATCCAACAGTTGGGTTTGTTTGATTAGTTAAAACTGCAGTGATTGAGGGATCAGTAAGAGCAGTTGTGTTTGAATGATTGGTAGGATCCTCTGTGCTTGAATGGCCATAGGGAGCAGTGTGTGATAAATGAGCAGGAACTGCTGTGCTTAATGTTCCAGAAGGAGCAGTTATGCTTGATTTCTGAGTAGGAACTGCAGAGAGTATGGGAACATTAGGAGACAAAGTAGCTGACAGATGAGTGTCACCTGTTGTGTTTAATGGACCAGAAGTGTCTGAAAGATCTGTAGGAACTATTATGGTTGAAGGATCAGGAACTACAGTGATTGAAACATAATTAGGAGGAGCTGTGCTTGAAAGATCAGTAGGTGTGCTAGTGGGTACAACACTAGAAAGAACTGGTGCTGCAGCAGATGATGTTTGCATAATCAGAACATTTTGTGATGACTGGGTTTGTCTGGTTGTCAAACTTGAGCCATCTTGATTCACTGAAACAACATGAAAATGAGTATAAATCAGCCACTTTTTGATTACAGCAAAAACATTACCTACATTTAAACCGTTTTAGAGAATGAGGAACTCACCAACAACGACACTGGAAGGAATAATGTCAAGAAACACTTTTGATTCAACAATTGCTGACTTAAGATTGTCTTCAATGCTTTCTTTATTTGGAAGCACAGTGTCACTTTTAAAAATAAGTTGCACATCCACACCCACAGACCCAGGCCTAGAGAGAAAGATATTTGACGTTATTTTTATACATGTAAAAGTTCTTAAATTACTATAATGAATGTTCAGGTTTGATGTTGCTTATTCTCACGTTTTTGGATTTTTATATTATTTTGGACAGTAAAAGTATGTAACACATCACAATTCAATATGTGGCCACCCTTGACCACAAATGTAATTTTGCATCACCTAATCTTAAGTGTAAACAGTGATATCGACAAATACAGAGCAGTGGCATAGAGGAAAGGACCTGAGTAATCGATACCTCAGGAGTGTGCAAAAATGGTAAGATAAGCAATATAAAAAAAACTGCAGCATAACAAAAAAATCTGCTCTCAACTTTTTCCAAATCAGCCTGATGAAACAATCCCAAAATTGTGAAGAAATTCTTCCATTGGCCTTTGAATGGATAATACTAGTTAAATCGCTTCAAATTCATTAAATGTGTGCATGTTTCAAGTATAACCCAGGTGAAAAAGAAGTGCACTTCCATAATGTACTTAAAGTGCTCTATTTTCACACACTCATTTTGTACATAAAATACAAAAAATATTATTTAGTACTTAAGATAAACGTAAGTACATATGTGTACTCAAATGTGCTATTTTGAGACACCATGAAAATGAACTAAAATGTGCTTTAAACATATTATCTCTGTAATAAAACATTTTTAGTTAGTTAACACTTGTAGTACACGAACACATCTTTCATACATTAGTGGGTTCAAGTGTACTACAAGTGTTAACTAAATAAATATTTTCAATTTCAGCAATAAATAAATAAGCAGTGCACATGATGCAGTGTAATGAATAATATTACTTGTATTATTTGTAATGTGATTTTCCGGGGCAGCATTTTTTTTTTCTGTGTTGATATGTTTTATTATCTGTAGACAGTTGTAATTGTTGTTTGTGATAAATTACTATATTTTAATTGTAGGTTGCCACCTTAAAACAAGGGGCAACCGATGAAAATTAGCCTACTGGGCTAACTGGGATATTTACAGTACCTGTTCACTAATGAGCAGTGTCCCTATCAAATACTAGTAACTTACAAAATTGCAAATTACACCTCAAGCAGACACAGGTTTGGCTCTAAGCTTCATGGTGTGCTCAGTGTTTACATATACATCCAGTTGCTGGCTTCACACTTGATGAAATACACTTGATCACTGCTAATCTCAGTTTAGGAATGGCTATAAAGCTCACTGGCTACTAGCTTTTGTTAAATCAGATCATATCGCCATTTTCCTCGTACCAAAATAAAAACAAAGGCCCGGACAAGAACCTCTGGAGAGGAGGGTGGTGAAACGCTGGCCCACCCAATCAGAAGCTATGCTACAGGGGGCTCAAAATGACATTGAGTGGGACATATTCCGGGTGAGTTTAGCAGTCGTCATTGTGTTCACATATGTTAACTGATGAAGCATCATATACCATCACTACAAAGACTTTCACTAGTCAGAAACTGTGGGTGGGCTGCATACATTGTGGGTCTCTCATCGGGGAACATAAGTGATTACAAAACATTGTGCTATGCTCTCTGATGTGCAGCAAGATATGCTAAACTTTGGTGAAATCAGGCTCTTCACTGGCTGAAAAGCTGAATACTTTCTATGCACAATCTGAAAAAAAAAAAAACATGATAGCGCTTATCTGGCAGTCAGATGGCATTTTCTGTCTGTGTTTTGAGATCCTGCACTGATTAGCTTGATGGATGTAAAAGTTGTTTATATCCATCTTTAATAAGTCCCATGCTTTATTCATGGTCCCTGCCTGTTTTAAGAAATATGTTACCATCCCTGTGCCAAAGAACAATTAACACTCTTGCCTGTATGACTATCGCCCTCACATCACTAGTTATGTAGGTCTTTCAAAGACTCATCAAAAACACCAATTGTGCTTTCATCCATGTTACTATAGACCCTTCTTTAGTTTGCATTAAAAAGATGGTCTCAATGTGCAATTATTTGCCTACAAAAAACTGAGTAGTGAAGAAAGCTATAGGCTGAAACTCATCTGTTCACTGGTCTATTTTTTTTATTGTACTTAGCACTTTTTTGTAGCATGCAGGAACAAATGAATAAACATTTTGATAGACCGCTGTGTCCTGGTTATCTATTCAAAGTGCGAACAGCACTCTCGGTAGGATTCTGAATATTTAATTTCTTGCTCTACACACCTAAGGATAACTTTTTGAGTGAAACAATTTGATATAATATATGAAAGTCTTGTACCAGAATCTCAGCAAGTAGCATCTGAGAAAGTGTGGCTCATACAATTTCCAGTAGAAGTGATTCAGCTAAAAAGAAAAGAAACAGAGATATAAACTATAACATACAAATACATCTCACTATCAACATAATTTGGGCAGAATTAGGGAAAACAACTATTTTACTATTACTACAGCAAAAGTGAAAATGTCTCTTTGAATACCTCCATTGTGATGTTTCTGGATAGAGTCTGATACTCCAATGAAGCAGGATTACTGTAAGCATCAATATACTGTATGTGCAAACGGATCTGCAGAATAACAAATACTTCGCCTGGCACTGCTGGACCTGTGGAGGCCTTAGTTGATAGTTGAGTGGTTGACATTGAAGATGTAGTTGCAGTAGTGACATATTTAGAGCCTATTGGTAATGGAGTATTTTTCTGAGGACAACCTATGGCACATGCAGGAAAACCCCCCCACATTGTTTAATAAACATTTAAAAAATACAGCACTATTCAACTACAATAGGCTATCACAAACCTTTTGGTAGTGAAAGAATAAGAATTTCTTTGCTTGTCTTCAAGTCCTCTAGAAGTTCAGATGGTACAATTGCCAAAGCCTTTTCTAAGCCTTTTAATCTGTTTAAAATTACAAAAATACAAAATTACAAATAAATAAATAAAATCTGCATGATGAGTGAAACTGATAATTAAAATGTAATCAAATCACACACATTGCATCGTAAGAGTCACAGCTGAGGTTTGTGGGGATAACCACCAAATATGATGGACGAAAACTGGCCAGTAGTACAACAAGATTTATTTGGAACCACAACATATAGTCACTGGATTGGAAGAGGGGGAATCTGGTAGCAAGAGCCATCAAAGTTAGGTTCAGCATTGTGTCTCTGACAGCTGTGTTTTCAATCATTGTGATATTTCTCTGAAATTAGACAAAAGAAAAAATATGAACAAAATATTTAATATACTCTTAAAAAGCATGTATTGTTTGTGTGATGCTTTTAAGGATTGCCTTCCCCTATGAAAGTGTCTGAATAAATAACTGTAAGTTTATTCATAAAATAAATTTCAATGGAGTAAAGCAGAAAATGGAGTAAAGCAAAAAAAAAAAAAAAAAAACATGTATCAGGTAAAATTGCTCACCTTTGTCGTGATGTAAGTAAAAGCTGTAAAGAACTGTTCAAGCTGCCCATCATCTGGAGATATCAGAATAGAGGACAAAACCATCCTCATAAGCGTCTCATTCTGAAGTACACCAATAGATGGATCAAATATTAATTCTGCTTTCATTGTTGCTGGGAGGGAATTTAGAACTGTCATCTAAAAAAAAGAAAGGACAAAAACCGGTCAGAATAGTTGTCATCCAGAGAGGGTAAAATAATTGAGGATAAACTTAATTACCACATTGATTTTCATCTCCTTTAAAATAGTATATGTGATGTGTCTGGAAAAAGGACCAAAGTTGAGAGATATCCATGAAGAATCAACTGTGGAATCCCCTTGGCAAGCTAAGTAAAAACATTAGGGGGGAAAACACAAGTAAACTACTAGAATAAAATAATAATAATAATATGATGACCTAAAGCAACTAATAAAAGATTTGTTTAAGGAAAGTCAGACTACTATCCTTATTTTATGTGTTTTACATTGTGTCCCATTAAATGTCTTAATTTATAGCACATTATTTGTATTTCATTAACAAATACCTAAACTATAAACAGATAGGTATTGTCAACCCGGTGTATGTTGATGTAACTTTTCAAGATTTTTATTGAAACATTGAAAGAGCAGAATAAAAATTAGCATTGAAAGTTTTTAAAATTATTGGAATAAACTTTAAAAATATGAATAAGATAACATGAGAAATAAAGAACAATATATGAATGAGATTAATAATGCCAACTCAACTGCACTCAAAAGCCCAGTGTTAAATCTAATTGACCTACCTGTTTCATTATTCAATTTCTGGTAGCCCACCAGGACTAGGGCGAGCTCCTGCTGTCTCAACAAAGTCATCTGGTCAAAGATGCTGCTCAAAGCCCCAATGCTACAGTGAAAAGATCACAACAAAATGTAAAGACGATGCCTCATTAAAAAAGATCTTCACCAGCCAATGAACCTGCTTTAGAAATGCCCTCATGTTCTTTTTGACAGTGCAATTAGACGGGCGTTACAGAGCAGTCACAAAGATAGGGAGCGCTACGTACATGACGTGGTATTCATTGCAGTCGGTGTTTAATGTTGCTGTCTGGAGCATTTCTGCAGTCAAGCTGGGAAGGAGAGGAATCAGTTTCACAGTGAACCAGGACACCCAGTCATCGGTCACAAAGTCGGCAAAATGAAGACTGATGATG